GCCTTTTCCTAATATTTGCAATACATTTTTGCAGCTACTTAAAAAAAATATGGTCCTTTAAACATAATCATTAACAAAATAAGCTTTTATAAAAAAGGGGGGAGGGGCGTCTAATTCAAAAAATAGAAATAAATGTGATATATAACTGAAGGGGAATGTATTCCCTGAGCCAGTACCGAAACTGGATCTCGTCAGTACAATGATTATAGTATCTGCTTTTTGAACAGCGTTTATAATTTCGACTAAGCCGAACAAGTAAATTAACATTTAGTAACAAATAAATAGAGGCCTCACCTGTGGATTGATACTAGTAGCAAGACTTGCAGCTAATACATTTTTTGGAGCTTCACTGGCCGCTGTTGTTTCGATCTGCTGCTCTAACGCTTCATTTGCGACTGTTTCTTCTCCCACCATTTCATTTTGCTCTGAAAAATGGCAAATCATCAGCAACTCCCGACGCACTGCCGTGAAATCCCGGACGATATGAGCATCTTCCGAGGGAGAGCGCAGAAAAACGAACCAATTTGAGGAGTGCCTTCTTCATCGTCGACGCCTACTGGTTGCCGCTGTGGAAGAGCGTTTTTCCGCCTAGATGAGCTGCTACCGCAACCACCGGCAAACGATACGCTCGGTGTTGGACTTGTTTCATTTACCATTCTTTCCAATCTACTTTCTTCCTGCTAAGCACTTTTTTTAAGGCATTTTAATTTCATACTGCACTCCAGGCTTCACTTTCATAATTTACATTAAAAGTCTTACTGTGCCTTAATTTCATACTGTATCACAATTTTGCATCTAAAAATTTGTAAAATTTTTTTGAAAGAATACACAAATTGTTGGAATGAAAATGAACTTTTCGGCAGGGCGCCACATCGTCTTCGTCATTTCGAATTTTTCGATCGTCGATGAGATCTTCGGTCATCGTTGCAGTTGCTTCTTCATCATCCTCATCATCATCATTATCATTCTCACAGCAGCTACTATTGATGAATGTTGCTTCGTCCCTGAATCTACCCGCTTCAACAGCGTCAATGTGCGTCGCCGCTTTACAGGGTCTGATGAGTTCCTAAACAAAAAAAAATATTTTCTTTTAAATGTACTGGATTAGCTGTGTACATGACAGTCTGACTGGCCAGCTATTCAACTAATAACTTTTTCAGTTGCTTTGACCAGTGCCAAACCACGTGGTGCTCACTCTGCTGGCGATCCAGAATTTGTTTTGTCTCCGGAAACAGGGTCGATTCTTGCTCCAAACCAATTAAAATCAACTACCCGTCAACCCCGGTAGTTCATATAGACGGTTCTTTCGCTAAATTTTGTAACTCGCTGGTTGAATTTTTCACCAGTAGCTATATTTCGAGATAAAAGCGCCTAAAAAGAATATGGAGAATAGCAACATGGCGTTTTTTTTTGTGAAAGAAATGCTGATTT